GTGCCAAGGAAATGCAAGCCCGCCCGACGACCTCGCGGGTACCCAGATGAGTACTTATTGTGCTCGGTTCTTTTTTCGGTCGACGGAAGCTCGTGTCTGATTTTTTACAGCGCCGCTCCTGGGAGACGTCGACGTTGGTGGCGGCCAGTGGCTACCGATTTTGTTGGGCTGCGGATTATCGCGTCACCTCCCTGCGCTTGCTCCACTGCGCCCCTCACCCCTGAGTTTCGTGCGGCCCGCTCGGCGCGACTTCGAGACTCCACCATTCTGCCCTTGTCTTCCTTTTCCTCGTGTGTAATTCGGGAAGGTAGTCAGTGCGGGCATACGCCACCTTCCGTTGCGGCTTGTTTGCCTTCCCTTTGTCCTCTCCCCCCCCCCTTTCGTCCTTGTTCGTCCTTGTTGTCGCCTCTCTCGCCCCGTCGTTCCTGTCTGTCATCGTTGCTTGCCTGCTGGGGTGTGGGCGTTAGTTCGGGTGTGCTCGGGTGCTCCAGGGGCTTGCCTGGGGCACGCATTCCTGGAGGCGTCGTCCCCTGCGGGGCCCGAGAGGTTATCCGCCTCCCGCTCGCACGGGCTTCACGTTCTGCGATCGGCCTCGCATTCGCTCGACTGCGTGGCTGCACGGTGCGCTTGGCCCTGACCTCGAACGGTTTCTGTCGATCGTGCTTTTGTCAAAGGTGGTTTGTTGCAGATTCGCAATCAGCGACAGCGGGCATGTGACATCATAATTCTTTACGCTTCGCGTATCCCCACCAGCCCATCTCACAGCAGCAACTCTTGCGAAACATGCCGACAGTCGTGTTTTTCAGGCGTGTGTCCGCTTGGCCCCGCATATCTCCCCTGTTCCTCCTTCCTCCCGCCTCCTTGTACATCCTCCTTGTGGGGGGAGCGGGAGAAGGACGAGGCGGAGGAGGAGGGAGAGAAAGCGCTCCTCGTGGTTTGAGTCGTTTGGGGTTTCTCGTCCTGGTGTGAGTCGTTCGGGCCCTTCTTCCTGGTGTGAGTCGTTCGGGCTCTTCGTGGTGTGAGTCGTTCGGGCTCTTCGTCCTGGTGTGAGTCGTTCGGGCTTCTCGTGGTGTGAGTTGTTCGGGCCCCTCATCCTGGTGTGAGTCGTTCGGGCCCCTCCTCCTGGTGTGACTCGTTCGGGCTCCTCGTGGTGTGAGTCGTTCGGGGCCCGCGTCGTGGTGTGAGTCGTTCGGGCTCCTCGTGGTGTGAGTCGTTCGGGCGCCTCGTCCTGGTGTGAGTCGTTCGGGCCCCTCCTTGTGGTGTGAGTCGTTCGGGCTCTGCGTGGTGTGAGTCGTTCGGGCCCCTCGTCCTGGTGTGAGTCGTTCGGGCTCCTCGTGGGGCCTCTTAAGGGGCCTCTTGGAGCCTCTTGGGGCCTCTTGGGGGCCTCTTGGGGGCCTCTTGGGGGCCTCTTGGGGGCCTCTTGGGGCATCTTGGGGCCTCTTGGGGGCCTCTTGGGGGCCTCTTGGAGGCCTCGTGGGGCCTCTTGGGGGCCTCTTGGGGGCCTCGTGGAGGCCTCTTGGGAGGCTCCTGGGGGCCTCTTGGGGCCATTTGGGGGCCTCTTGCGACCTCCTCTGAAGCGCAAAGAAGCGCTGGCCCCTGAGAAGGACAAAATGAGCCCAAAACCTCAGTAAAATCAATGGTTTTGCTATGAAGGAAGATGGGCGCGGCCCCCTCAGAAGGCCAAAAAGGGGCCAACACCGTAGTAAAATCAATGTTTTTGGCTTCAGAGACGAGTTGAGGGACCAAACGGTCTCCCCCCTCTCGGGACCCGAATCCTCGTGAAGGTCGTCGTTTTTTTGCCCTCCCAGGAGTCGAAAAAGACCCCCTTGCCACCACTCGGCCCGTTCTCTCCAGGTCCAGGGGAGGGGGTAGGGGGAGGGGTAAACCCCTCCCCGAAGGGGAAGATAGGAGGTTAGGGGGTTGAGAATAGAGAGAGCTCTCTAAACCACTCACGCCCAAAGGGCTGGTGGGATTGCAACGCAGTGCAGAGTGTTTTTCTTTTTGTTCGCAGTCTTATCATGATGCCTTGTGTGCTTCGTCATGTTATTCCTCCTCATCCTCCCTGTCGGCCGTTTGCTTGCCGCGGTCGCTTTGCAGATGTCAGCGTTTATTTCGCTAGCTCTTAGACATTCCGTTGCCGTTTGGTTTGGCGTCGTGGGTTGGGCCACCCCGCAAAACCCGACCTTTTCGCTTCAGGGTCGACGCTGCCCATGTCAGATACGAAAGGACGAACGCATAGTTTGATCCAATTTCAAGCGCTGTTCAATTTCCCTCCTCCCCCTTCTGCCCCTTCCCTCGCTCCTCCTCCTCCTCCTACTCCTCCTCCTTCTCCCTCCTACGTGCAACTGCGTGTGTGATGTTGTTTTTTTCTGCTGATGAGACCAAATGAGGTTGTCCTGTTTTTTGTTCCCCCTCCTTCCTCCATCCCGTCCGTCCGCCGTTTCCCTTGTCTGCTCCGTGTCCGCCTGTCCGCCCTCGAAATAGCGCTGACATCCCGCAGCTCGTCCGTCGGCACGAGCGGTTGTGACTAGAGGTAGATTTTGTTCAACCGGCGCATTGCGTTTCAGTGTAGCTCTGGTGTTTTACGATTACCGAGCTCGTCGTGTGGAGGTGTCTGCTCCCCCTCTCCTTCCAAAGATGCGCTGAAAATGAATGCGCAACTCTCTTGCTGGCCAGAGTGAGCTCCTCGTTCTGAGAACCCCCCCCCCCGCGCATGCTGCATACTAGTCGTGGGTTTCCGCTTAACTGCCTCCCGATCGCCGAACTATCGAGATCGTCGGTCCCCAGCTTGTGATTCATTCGAACATGTTTTTTACATCTTGCGCATGACGAAAAGCGTAGCGAACCGAGTGCAGGTGCTGAGCCCACTGGACGACGCACCGTGTTGGTTGAATATATTGTAAATGAGCTCCGAACAGCGTTACTAATACTTGCGAGGGGCATGCCTGCAGCTCGAGAACAAAACACTGCTGTGTAGCCCGAGCGTAATGCGACCGGCTTGCAACGCGCCCGCTGGATATGACCATAGCAGCTTTCAAATGTTGAGGATACTGGCCTAGAGTGGTTTGGGCTTGAATGCAACTCTGGATTCTAGGACCCTGAGATACGTCTCCCTGAGCGCAAGGTTCCCAATAATACACTTCTGAGGTCAGCGTGGATCCCGTGCGGGTGCAACGAATTAGACATTTTTTCTCGATGTCCCGACGGATCCTGCTGTGGTGCCCAAAGGAGCGACGCCAGGATTCCTCGGGACCAGCTGAATGCAACCAGGGCAAGGAGTGAAGCACGCGGGAATATTTGGCATAGACCGACGACGAGTGGTCACGGTGTGACGCAATCGCTTGCGCGCCGCCACGACTGCGGTCGGGACTGAGTCGAGTCGCTGGTTCCGGCCCACCACGCTGCGGCGCGGCACGCTTCCCATTTCCCACAATTTGACCGTAATCGGCACAGATCAACGACGAGTGGTCACGGTGTGACGCAGACGCTTGTACGCCGCTGAAGCTATACTGCGGTGGCAGCAGCTTCCGCCATTGCGCGGCAGCCCTCGCTCAGCGGCTCCGCGCCCACCCAACGTGCCGGCAGGTGTCTCTCCCTTTCCCCCTCCTGGCGATGAACAGAGGTGGGCGAAATAGGGATGCACTCAGTCCCAGCCCCCTCCCTCGGGCTGAATCCACCGACTGCCTGCCCCCGCGCAGGAGGAGGAGGAGGAAAAGGAGGAGGAGGAGGAGGAGGAGGAGAAGGACGAGCAGGGCTCCCCATACCATCTCCTCCCTCCTCGTCACGGGCTGGGCAGGGCCCCCCGGCGAGATGCCTCGAGAGCGCGTGGTCTCCCGCGCCGCCGCTGACGGGAGCCCCTCGGCGGCTCGGGGACGTCCTCCTTCTCCTGCTCTTGTTGGTTTTCTTCTCCTCATTCCTCTTCCGCTTCCTCCTTATCCTTCTCCCCTCCTCGTCCCCCCCACTCCTCCCTCCTCCTCCTCCTCCTCCTCCTCCTCCTCCTCCTTCCTCCTGGCCCTGACGCTGCGGGCGGGTCACGCCGCGGCCTCGGTCCCCTCGCGGGTCTCCCCGTCCACCCAGGAGGGGGTCCTATCATGGAAGTGGCCATGAAGGTTGCCAGATGTCATGCCCCCCCGCTTTGGCTCTTTCAACGCCCCCTGGCCCCATGTGAGCCTGTGACCCAGGCCCCCTTCCTCCGCGTCTTCCTCGGCGCCCTCGGCGCCCTCCCCATCCAAGGCGTCCTCCTCGTGTCCTCCCTTTCCGAGGCGTCCTTGTTGTCCTCGGCCTTTTCCTTTGGAAGGGAAGCGGAATAACCATAAAACTGTCGAATGTCCGCGCGGATTTCTTGGATCAGCGCAGGCTCCCCTTGGCGGTGGCGTAGCCCCTGGCGCGTTCCGCGCGACAGGGAGGTGGGCTCAACGCCGATCCAGGAAAGCCGTTCGTAGCAAGAAGCCTTTGGGAGCTGCAAGGGCGAAGCGGGGGACAGGACGTCTTTCACGACGGCGCGGATTGCCGCCCTCTTGGCCGGCGGCTCCTCGGGCCTCTCGTGACGTGTGTGGGTGATCCTGCAGGGTCCGATCGGGAGGAGGGGGGAGTGCAGGCTCAATGTGTTTCGTGCTTGGGCCCTGGAGGTCTGGGCCACTTCCCTGTAGGGTCAATGACCCTTCCTGGGTGCTTCCCAGTTGGGCCTGCGGCCCGCGGAGGGCTCCCGGACGCCGACGATGGCCAAGAGCCAGCTGCCCCAACTTCTTCGGAGCCTCGGACCACTGGAGGGCGGGGCGTGAGCAACCGTAGGGGGCCACATGCGAACCCTACCCCTACCCCCCACGATTTCTGAGGGGGAGGGTGGGGTTCACTTCGTTCTGGAGCTCTCGAGCGAAGTGAACCCCACCCTCCCCCTCAGAAATCGTGGGGGGTAGGGGTAGGGTTCGCATGTGGCCCCCCAAACCGGTGCAACTCTCTGATTCTATCATCTCCAGCCTTGCCCGATCCTCCCCTCCGAGGCGCATGCAGCCACGCGCCAGTGAGCGTCCGCGGCCCCGCGTGCTGCGGCCAGGGCCGCCCTCTGGCGCTGCACTGCACCCTGCTGCCGCTCTGTCGTTGGCCTCTGCTGCTCGTCACCTGAACCACGACACCCTCTACTCTCTCTCGCTCGCTCTCTTTCTCTCTATCTCTCTCTCCCTCTTTATCTTTATCTCTCCCTCTCTCTCTTCGTCCCTCTTTGTCCCTCTCTCCCTCTCTATTTCCCTCTATCCCTCTCTCGATCTCTCTCTCTCTCTCTCTCGCTCTCTCTCTCTCTCTCTCTATATATATATATATATGTATGTCTCCCTTTGGTGCCCCCCCATCCACTTTCTCTCTGTTCCTCTCACTCTTGACTCTCTCTCTCTCTCTCTCTCTCTTCTTCTTTCTGTTTTCCTCTCTGTCTCTCTCTCTCTCTCTCTCCTCTCTCCTCGTCGTCGTCGTCGGAGGAGGAGGCGCAGGAGGAGGAGCAGGAGGAGGACCAGGATAAGGATGGAGTTCAGGATGAGGGAGACCAGAGTCCGAAGTGTTCCGCGCGGAGGGTCGTTGCCAGGGGTCCGCTGAAGCGTACGTAGCATCGCTTTGATTTTATCAGGTTTGGGCTTTGGGCCCCTTATGTAGCAAGCCCGGAAACACTGGATCAGATCATTTGCTTTATTCGCCGCCTCCCCTGTGGCAGGTCTTCCACGAATTAAACAAACCCATGAGATTTATCCCAATCATTCTCGGGCGCCAAAGCGGGGGGGGTCGCCATCGGGAATCCACAACGCCATGTCAAGATCCCTCAACTCGTCCTCGATGTCTTCTTGGATGTCTGCAAGCGCCACATATAAGTGTGTCTTCGGCCATGACAGCATCCAGCCTGGATCCCAAACCTGGCGCCGCAACCTTGGAGGCCCTGGGGGCCACCCAACAGGGCGCCCGCTGCGATTCCCTTAGCGTTGCAGCTAGGCCAGGTAGATTCGCCAGCGGGTCAAGGGCTTAGTGGGCCCTGGAAACGACAGGGTCGTTTTTTTCACGGGTCCGTTTTGCCACTTTCTTGCCGGCTCCGACCCCGTTTTGTTGCTGTTTCGGTCGTTTTGTTTCGAGGTTCCGCCTCCGGTTCCAATGTTGGAAAAGTTCGCTTGTTTGTTCCAGACCCTTTTGTGCGCTGTTGCCATTTTGAAGAGACTCTGTTTGAGATTGGGTGAAAGAAAGGCCATGTCGTTTCCGGGCCCACCAAGGTCAAGGCCCCAAGGCCCCCCAGGTCGCGCTGAAGGACAATCAGGAAAACGGGAGGGATGTCAACATTGACAATATCTTTTTGAAGCAGTTTTCCTCCCTTGGGAACTGCATGACCAGTTGCCTGGTAGCATTGTAAAAGGCAGAATGCTGGTCCAAGAAGGTGAGACCAGTGCTTTCCCGTGTTAGCAACGATCGACATTGCCCCGGCAAAATGCATCGCGCCGTCGCAAGATCGTCTTGGCAGGCCACTGGATTGCACATCAAACCTGGCCCGCCCACAAAAACCTCCGATACGGTTTTCTCAAGTTATTCGGATCATGCTTTCCTAATACACTGGTTTTGAGGATGCTCTTGAAGTTTTCTTCTTTTGGCGCAAGACTCTTGCCCTTACATGAATTCGCGACATGCCTAGACTTGAAAACAGTAGGTTGTCTAAGCCAACGACGTCTTGGCCTGCGCAGGCAGCGACGCTCTCCAAGGCCCGCGCGACATCCATCAGGGCATCCAGCTCTTCTGGGACGTGGCTCCCTTGGGGCCCCTTTCAAGCCCATGCCGAGTGACCGGGACTTCCTCAGAAAAAAAGGGGTCACGCCGCCCAAATCATCGCCAGAAGGGGCACATGTTGGGGCAGCTGGGAGACCCTCGTAGTGATCCAGGACTTGTCTCGCATCAGTGGCGCGCATGTTCTACCACTGCAAAATGCGCTTTCATGCGGTCTGCTACTGGTCCCTCTGAGGTGAGAGGCTGATTTTGTTCGTCGAATGTGGGCGGTTCTACATGTGGATGCTTCGCACTTTTCCGACCAAGCCTGAGAAGTGTGTGCAACGGTTGCCACTTCTGATTGGTGTGTTGTCAATCCACCGCTGCTCTAATGCGACCAGAATAATAGCTATTCTAGAAGCGGGTGTTATCTTCATCGATCAAATCTGTGATGGTCGATTCTGTCGTGCGCAAGGGGATCAATGCTGCCAGTCCCTGGGACACTGGCAATCTGCCCGGTAGGAGCCCCGACATGTCCTGAGTTACAACAGAGAGCGCAGCCTGCCATCTGGCGGGCGGGGTGCGCAGAAGCTCAGAACTCCATTGAGGGACCTTGTTGCCAAGGCACGGGCGATCCCAACCTCAAAGTCCTTATCTAAACCAAAGCATGTGCGATGAACCCGAGCGTGAAATCCCCACCCCCTTGGCACATAGCGCTCTCTGGGACGAAAGGGTTGACCGTGAAGGCCACCGCGACAGCTTCATCAATCCCTTCGGTGACATGCGTGGCATGCCGGTTCAACGGAGTGGTCCAGGAGATGTGAGGTATCGAAACAACGCCTTCCTTGAAGGTTGCGAAAGGCTGCGGGTCCTTCATGTCTGGGGATCGAATATCTTGGGCCCTTTCTTTGTCGTACGTCTGCTGACTGGCCAGGCCAGATTTACATACAGGGGGAGGTGGTAAGTAGCAACACAGAGGCAGGCGAAGTGGTGGTCAATCTCCACCTTTCAAACACGCGCCAGCAGAAAGTAGTCATTGCCGCGATGACTTACCTCATCAGACACGAATGAGTACTCCAGATTTCGTAATAAAAGGGAGGGGGTCTGGACCCTCCAAGACGAGCCATTTCAGACCCCCCCCGTGGGAGAACCCTCCAAAACATCGTCCCCAGACCCCCCCAGGCCCTCCAAGATAGCCTGGAAAAGACCCCCCCCGAAATGAGACCCCCCTCCCTTTATTACGAAATCTGGAGTAGTTTCCGCGTGTGCCAGAGTGTGCCCACTGGGAAGAACGGGGGTACCCCCGCTGACTTAGCTCATCCGCAAGCGCAGTTACTCGGCCTAGCTGCCGACGCAAAACAGTTCACTTGGAAGAGCTCCACCTGCTCGCGGCAAGTATGCATGCATTTCTCTGGGAACTCGTAAGGTTCGGCAAAGCCTTCGTCCCCAGCCCAGGTGCTGCTAACCGAGCCTACATGTGTATTTCCATCAATCCGGAAATCCTCGGATGTCATTTGCCCGTCAGTTTTTGTAGCTACATCCAGAACTCAGCGACGGCGACGACCACTTTCCCTTGCTTGATGTGGGGAGCGTGGGCAACCATCACAGAAACCGGAGGGCTGCCTAGATGCAGGACGGCAGCGAGCACCCTCGCATCAGCATGCACAAGCTTAACATCGTTGTGTGTGTGCTTGTGACCTCTGTCTGCCCTATCACCCCCACGGGCAGCTCCAAGTTGAGCCAGCGTTCCACGCCCAAGCCCTGGTCGGAGCATCCATTGGAAATCGCATGGAAGACCCCAGAGCGTCTTGCACCCGTCTCACCCCAGTATTCTTGAATTCCTACAACATGGGCGCCTGCATCACCCATTGGGCGCTCATCATTTGGTGCCTAGCCTGCCCCATGCCCTTCTCTGACCGAGGCGGACCTGCAGTTCTTCTGCGCAACTCCGAGAGTCAATTCGAGATCTCGCCTCGGTCTTGCGGAACCGACAAGAAGATGGGGTCACCCCTACCAGGTCATCGAATGGGGGCCGACGTGCCGACTCCAAAGTCGTTCCAAACACTTCTCTGAGGCGCAGGGAGGAGGAGGAGGAGGAGGAGGAGGAGGAGGAGGAGGAGGAGGAGGAGTTATCTGTAGACGTTCCAATTGGCGAGAATGATGGCATCAGGCCACCTGCAAGAGGCCAGTGGGGGACCAACGGCGGGAGATCACGCTTCTCGTAGCACCCGAGGCTACATGATCTGCCGTGGTGCCCCATGGTCGTCATCATGTTTCAGTATGTGTCCTGGATGTACCTCACACGTAACCTGTCAGAGCACCAAAACAGACCAACAAGGACGGTTGAGATCAGGTCCTCTTCCGTTGGAGCATACCTCCTCCTGAGGGTCTGAGCCGCCCTTTCAGAGTCACTGAACATGCCAACTGCGCCCCCATCAGGCCCACAGAGAGCCTGAAGCATAGCAAACATAGCGCAGCATACTCACAGCGCAGTTCCCGCCACTCCTCCTCCTCCTCCTCCTCCTCCTCCTCCTCCTCCTCCTTTGAGGTACTGGCGCTCCTCCTCCTCCTCCTACTCCTCCTGGGGCTCCCTGGGGCGACGCTACTGGAGAGGTTCCTGGGAGGCTCCTGGGACCTCCTTGCGAGGCTTCCTCGTGAAACGCTCCCGACAGGCCCTTGGGAAGCTCACGAGAATCCCCCGAGTCGCGCGAGAGCCGTCCAAGAGAAGTCCCCCTTGGCTGGAAACGACGGCAGCTGGCCGGCGCCGCGCGGCCGCCTTGGCGAGGGAGGCCCGACGGGCGAGCGACAGCATGATACCAGCAAAGCAATACTGGGGCCACCAAGGCGGACCAAAGAACCCCAGCCCCCAGCAGACATCAAAAGGCAGCGCAACGCGGAACCGAACCGAACGCGGCGCGAACGAGAATCCAAGCGCGGCAGGACAACGACCCCAGCAATGAGCACATGTTCGATCTTGGAACGGGAGCAACGCGCCCCCCCGCCCCCCCCGGCCAAACGTTTTTAATATCACCGAAAGCCATGGAATGACGAAGTGCTGATGAGCCTTTGATTTCCCATCATGCTTGGACTTAGCCAGTTTACGCGGGACCCTGTGGGTGGGGGGCTCCCGCTCGAGGTTTCTTCCCGCACGAACGAGCTTCCCGTTCGATCCGCCTGATAAGCCGCCCGCATTCAACCCAATGGTTTTGTAAGAATTCTAGGAGTGCGGATCCGAGGCAAATTGTGACAGCTGTTTTCTCCAAGCAGTGCTCGCACTGAGTTTTTTGTTGATCCCGTCCCTTACATAATTGAATGGGTCGGCCGAGGATGTCTTCACGTTGCCGCCCTGTGCCACCTGGTTGGCGCTCGTGGGCGCCCCGTGCGGTGGGAGGGGCGGCCGAGGTTGCGCCGCGCTGCCGCCCTTGTCGCCTCGTGCGCGCTCGTGGGCGCTCCGTGCGCCGGATGGGTCCGCCGAGGTTTCACCGCGTTGCCGCTTCGTGGGTGGTCGTGGGCGCCCGTGCGACGGTCGGGTGCAGCGAGGTCGCGCCACGTTGCCGCCCGTGCCGCCTTGCGGGCGTTCGTGTGCGAACGCTGTGACGAACCTACACCACACAGCTTGCACCACACAGCGGACACGGCATAGTTTCCACCGCACGGCTTACGCCACATTGTTACATTGCTAACATCACGTCGGTTACACCAGATGACTTGAACAGCAAAGCTTTCACATCCAGTTCACATCATACACGAGCATATAGCTTTCGCCTGCGTTGATCACCCCGCATAGCTCACATGACAAGGCTTGCACCAAGTAGCTTGGACATCAACGCTTCTTACTTAGGTTACCTAATGAATTGGATGGGCGTGTGCCGAGTGTTCGCTTGGTGCCCAGTTGATGGGCCCCTGTGGATGCCTCGTCAGCCATCCGTGTTAGGTGAGTGTGCTGAGGTTTCGCTTGGTGCCCGCCCGTGAGCGCATTTTGGGCGCCTCGTGCACTGGGTGTGTGTGTGTGTGTGTGCCGAGGTTTCGCCTGGTGCCCGCCCGTGGGCGCCTTGTGTGCGACTCGTTGGGTCATTGTGCTGATGTTGCGCTTGGTGCGCCCGCCCGTGGGCGCTTCGAGGAGCCTCGTGCGCTGTGCGTGTGCGCCGAAGTTTCGCCTTCTGCCCGCCCGTGGGCGCCTCGTGGGCTGGGTGGGTGTGCCGAGGTTCCGCCCGTGGGCGCCTTGTGGGCGCCTCGTGTGCGGGGCGGCCGGTTGCTCCACAGCTTGCGCTGCATGACTTGCTCCTCGCAGGTTCTACCATACAGCTTTCTCCACACAGCTTGCACCACATAGCTTGTCGCATAGAGATCTTACACCATACAGCTTGCAGCACACTGCCCACACCACATAGATAGCATCGCATAGCTGGCACCACATATCCTACAACATTTTGCCTGAACCGCAAAGCGCGCACGACATGGCTTGCACCGTATAGCTTCAACAGCATAGCTTGCACCGTACAGTTTGCACCAACAAACGTGCACTACATATACTGCAACACGTAACATTCACCACACAGTTTCCCCATCCACACGTCAGACCACAGAATGTTGAATAGATAGCTTGCCCCAAAACTGTCAAAATCCACAGTGCAATAGCTTAGTATTGGGGGTCCACGCCGACAAACGTCCCTTTTCTGGCTTTTCGATATACTTTTCGTGTTCATCGGTTTGACACGCCCGTGGTTTCGCAGTGTTGCTGGACTGGTGTTGGCAGGGCCGCCCAGGAGGTACTTTACGATAGACAGGGGTGTCGGCAGCGCGCTGGCACCCCGGCGGCACCACGCTGGCAGCTCGATTGTGGCCGCTAGGACCCTTTTGGAAGAGACTGTGGAACCTGTGTTTTCTCCACCCTCAGAGTCTACAGCGAGACGCTATTCGAGAAATAAACGTCAGATATATTGTAGCCCGGCAGCGGTGCGGTTTATCCGCACTGCCAGCGAATGTGTCAGTCATCTTATGAAGTTGCATCTGTTCGTATGTACGGTTCGTCTTCAATCTGCTGCTGTTTGCCCCCGCTTAGTATTAGCGCATATTGTCGCAGAGTTACGAGTCGCCATCCATTGGGGGTACGCACTGGGTGCCTCGCACCCGCGTGGTAGGCAGCGTGCAGTCGTAGATAGTTTGCCCGTTCTGCACCATTGTATTTCCCTAGGGCCACGTCCGCCCAACCTTCAGCACCGACTATCCAGTAATTCGAGTAGAGCTTCGCAGGCATCGTGGGAGAAAGACATGGTCTATGCCCTTTCCTTTTTTTAGCGTCTGCCTAAAAGCGCGTGACAAAATGAGACCTGGAGAGGGATACGTTGGGAGGCGTTGGTTAAGGAATGCGTCCAGGAGTCTTCGGACCCTTGGGGGGTTCCTGATCTGGTGAGGGCGGCTGTTATATCCATTGCCAATCCACGATTGCAGTTCCACCAGCTTCCAGGCTCTTGATTTCTTATCACCTGGTTTCTGATCCAACTCCCTCACCGTATGCACATGGAGATGGTCCAATTAAATACGGCTTGGGCCAGCATGGGCGGGAGGATGAGAAAGAGGAGATGGTAAAGGATAGGGAAATGGGGATGGAGAAGTAGGGACACGAGGAGCATGAGTCGCGGCAGTTATCTCAGCATCATCAGCAGTAAGAGGTGGAGTTGGAACAGAAACCGGATGAGCAATATTAGCTGTAGCTGTAAAGGGAATGATGGGCAATCTCATATGCAGGGAAAGGGAGAGCCGAAAGAGAATGGTGAAGCCAAGGACGCGGATGCGTATTAGGGCGAGGAAGAACAGTAGGATGACACGAAGCCAACGCCGAGAACTAAGGCGAGGAGGCGGAGTAGGATGAGAGGACAGGAGCAGGAGTGAACAGGGGAGGGGGAGCAGGTGAATGACGATCTCGTGTAGCAATAAGCGTTGGAAAAAGTGGTTCAGTCCCCTAGTTGCAGCCGGAATTGAGCAGGTGCCGCAATCAGAAGTCGCGAGTTGGTGCCAAGTGTTTTAGGCATTGCATGCGTATGCGTGAGTGCGGTTTCGGCCGGTTGTTGATTGTTTTGGCCCCCATTCACAAACACACGCACACGCATACACATATTTACATACATATGTATGCATGTGCACTTACACGTAAATGCAACTATCTTACATCTATCATTTTGTGTGATGGTTAGCGAACGAGTACCGAATTTCCTCCGATTGCAAACCGCATAGGCCACGACGAAGTCATGCTCATGAGTTTCTTCGGGATGAGTGCTCGCGCGAGGCCCTCAAGAAGTTAAACAGCAGCTAGTCTGTTTTACCATTGGTGGAATGAAGGCCGAAGCCGAACTCGCAGCAACCAAATACACCCATCGGTACTCTGGCACACCGTGATTCGCATTCTGCAGGCGTTTCCACAGGCCTTCTTCTCAGCCGAATGAAACACGGATACCCTACGGCGGGAAGAAACGCGCGACGGGGCGCACTGTATGTTTTTACCCACCATGGCCGCGTCGTTGCGTTATATGTCAGCGCAAGCGCAGAGACCAGCGAAGCACAGACGCACGAAAGAAACATGGTGCAGACAATGCGTGGACATCTTTGTCTTGGCGCAGGCACCGCAGGCATTCGTTTCGCCTGTCGGCGCAGGCGCTGCGCATAGCCAGGCGCAGGCACCTCAGGCACATCAACTAGTAGGGTACATGCATCGCCGGGTCATCGCGGTCTTAGTGCAGGCACCGCAGGACGTTTTTGATATCCGTGCTTGCTTGCGCGTCTGTCTGTGACGGCTATGAAGTGGAAACCAGAGGGGGCAGGCAGGAGGGAACACTCGGGTGCGACGGCAGGTCGGACAACGGAATGCGCTGTTCAGTTGGCAACAGGGGGATCAAGGCGGCCGCCCCGCCCCCGCCTCCCCGATCTCTCAGAAGAAACGCAGAACATGGCCGATGTCAGACACGCCAGGCACACCCGCATCGGCTGCGCCATTAACACACAACTGCATCTGCAGCAATGGTACCGCCAACAGCCTGAAAACTGCCAACGCCGTCGACCTCAACAACCTCATTTACGCTATCATCCTCACATGAACCCCGCCGTCAACACCAACAGCACCAGCATCGATCTCATCATCAACGCGGCGAGCGTAAGCAACACTAATTGCACTTTCGCCGTAACCAACGGCGTGCCGCACCGACCATGTTGACCCCCTGGCACTAGCGATACCAGCATTAGAACACTTGCGACGCCACCACGCCAGGAGCATTGGCAACGCAATTGCCATCAATCCGAACGACCCCGTCAACAACTACAACGGATGCATCGAAACTACAGATATACGTACGCATATGTTTGCACGGGCATGCGTGTATGTTTGTGTAGATATGTGCATACATGTGTTATCGTATTCGCATGGTGCACCACTCCATGCCAGTGCGGGCACGCTAAGTTGTTGATGGTTATATTAGCTCATGTCTTTCAACAGTTGTTTGTAAGTGTTGGTGCGTCCCCGAGTGGCAACACATCAAGTCGTTAGCTGGATAACAGGGCTGCGCTCACCTGTGTGAAGTGGCCCACCACGTGCTTAGCCGCTTCCAGGACACAGGTGCCGCGGTGCTGCATAGCTGGCGTTGACGCGTGCCCGAAGTGTGTTTTGATTGGGGGCAGCGGGGCAGAGTGCGACAGCGCGTTTGCAGACGCCGAGCTGCGCGCAACCCAGCGTAGTCCACCAGTAAACGTAGTCACGTGCCCGTTGGCATCCTCTTTTGCCCGTTCGGCCCCTTGCAGCTCCACTCGGGCCTGGGTCAGTTATTGCACACTTCATGCTCGTGCGTTGCCTGACTTCGCGCAGGCTAGGGAGGAGGAGGAGGAGGAGGATGGTTTGGGCGAGCCCATCACCGCAGCAACATAAGAGGAGGCAGGGCGCGCAAGAGGAGAGGAGGATTGGGAGACGTGGGGCGACGATAAGGGATGCTGCTAGCTGGTACTCTGGGGGAACTGGCACACAGACTCTACACATCGTTGGCGCGCGCGAGATGGTGTTGTTGTTTGATCTGCGTGCCGTGGAGCGAAGGCGCTCGTCTGATGTGACGTATACCAGTCGTGCGATTGAGGAACAGGAGGGTGAACATTGGGCTATAGCGTGCGGCTGATCATAGGAACGATGCTAAAGAGGTAGCGGTATTCTTGATGTTCGCCAGCGTGGATCGTGGATATGCAGGGCATGTGGTGCAATCAGTGTGGCGCAAGCTGTGCCGTTCAAAGTGTGGTGTGAGTTGGACGAGGCAGCTTTTTCGTGCATTGCACATACATGTACATGTATGCTACATGGTGTAAGCTATGTTGCGTTAGCTATGCGGTGCAAACTGTGTGGTCTACGCTAGGTGGTGCAGGCTACGTGATGTAAGGGATGTGGTGCAAGCTAGGAGGTGCAAGCTGTATAGAGCAAGCTATGTGTTGCAACCTCCGTGGTGCATTCCACGTGGCGCACGCCATGCGGTGTAAGCTATAGGGCGCAAGCTATACGGAGAACGCTACATGATGTAACATAGATGTTGCACAGCCTGTGGTGTAAGCTATGTGGAGCAAGCAGTGTGGTGCCAGCTACGTGGTGAAATCTACGTGGTGCAAGCCATGCTGTGTAAACTGCGTGGTGCCAGCTATGTGGTGTACGCTATGTGGACCAGTATGCATGGTGCAAGCTGTGTCATGTAAGCCATGTGATGCGAGATATGTTATACACGCTTTCTGTTTGCAAGCTATGTGGCGGAAGCTACGTGGTGTAAGGTGTGTGGTGTAAGATATGTGGCGCGGCGACGGACGGGAACGGGCCCGCAGACTGTCCTTCTATTGGGGGAAACGGGCGGCGACTGAAGGCAACGGGGCCTCCGGGCCCACACACGGGCCCAGTTTTGTAGAAGGGAAGGAAGAGTTCTTGAGTGCAATCGTTCTTTAGAGAACAAGTAAGAGACCCCAAGTGCAAGCATTGTTTCGGGAATCGGGCAACACTCGTTGATTGCGTGCTTCTTATTGTGTGCAGTTGGCCAGGGCCTCGCGCTACCTTGGGCAGGTCGTCACAAAGAGCAAGGCCAAGGCCAGGGCGACGAAGGCATCTCCGCTGCGTCAGCTCAGCTTTTTTGCTTTGTTCGGTAATCGCCGCCGTCGCGTCTTGTTGTCAACTGCATCGTGTCAGCGAGGAGCCCGGCGTCTCAGTTTGAAAGCGACTGGTTGATTTTGTCAGTAAGTGATTCGTGTTGGCACTTTCTCGCGCACTCATCACTCTCTTTCTATCCGCAGGACAAGCTCCAGACTGAGAGCGATCTTGCCGACACCGTGGTGGAACTGGAGGATGCGTTCTCCCAGGGAAGACAGGGAGCTACGGATTATTGAAGGGCGAAATGGACGAAGACGGAAAGTTATATATAGGTGTATATATATATAGGAACACACCTATATATATACACGCATCTATATATATATATAGATGCGTGTATATATGGTAGGAGATCGTGGTATGGGCGCGTGGATCCGAAGCAGTGGAGGCAAGCTTGGCCACGCGGAAGAACTAGAGGGCTTGTATGAGCAATCGGGAATGGGTGGTGTTGAAGCAATGGTATGCGAACGTAAGAATCTGAACGCAAGTGCAACTGGAAACCTGCATCAGGTTGAAACGCATTGACGCAAGCGGGCACAAACGGAATCAGCATGACGCAAACGAACTAGTTTATGAGCAACTGGACGGTGAGAGATTGCCGCCCCCTCTCTTGAGCGGGGATTGGCCTCGACGGCGGTGTGGCCAGTCAGTGACGGCGACTCGGACGGCTGTCCTCCATACATAAGTGGCTTGTCGGCGACGGCGGCGGAGTTCGTCGGCAGCCAGCGGCGGCATCTCCCCCCCCCACTGGGATTGGGCGCAGCAGTGACAGCAGGACAAGCAGGAGGTGTAAGGTCTTGGTGTGCAAAATAGGAGGTGTAAGGTCTTGGTGTGCACGCGAAAGAGAGAGAGAGAGAGAGAGAAAGCAAAACAGAGCAAGAGAAACAAACACAAAAGACACATATCTCCTTCTCTCTCTCTCTCTTCTCTCTCTGTTTTTGGGTATCTCTATATATATATATATATACATACATACACATTCAATGACACACGGGCAGTGACATGATGGAGGCAGCGGGCGAGACACACATAGATGCTTGTGTGAAGATCGTGTGTGTATGGGGGGCGGGGAGGGTTCTCATACACATACAAGCGCACATTTCGGGAAAAGCATGGGAATCCTTGTATGTATGCACGTTTTTATGTATTTACATAGGTATCTAGCCTAC